GGCCATGTATAGTTTAAGGGAAAGTGTGTTATCGAGATGATCTTTCCTATTACAGGGAAACTGGGTTCCATTGTGACCTTAGCTGTCATTTCTGAGCATACGCACCACATCATTATTTTCTCTCCTCCTAATCACAGATCCACATTTCTTTTTCTTTTTGGTTCTCTGCTAAACAAGTGCACCCAGATCATCTGCTGGTGATGTTTTGTATAGGTTGTCTAGAACCACAATTAACCTTTTACGTTTTAGCCACTGTTCGTCTTGTACTTATTGTGTACTTACCAGATACTTTACGTCTGTTAACTTATTTAGGGAGGCACTATTTTTTCCTCTTTTACAGATAAGGCATCTTAGGCACAGAGAGGGTAAGCAACTGGCCCAAAGCCATCCCACTAGTAAATGGCAGAGCTGGGATTTGAACCCTGGCAGTGTGCACTGTGTTAACTGCTGTGAGTGATGTGGCTTGGCCCTCCAGTCTCACTGCTCTTCTTCCCAGTTAAATTTGATTCATTTAGCCTGAGCTTAGATTGCACAGACTAACTGAATGTGGCTTTTGCCTGCAATGATAGCATTAATTGGAAGGATGAACTGGGTATAAATCTAACGGTCTCATATAAATGAGAAGTTTTATTAGCTAAAGTGATGAAATAATGGGAAAGCAAATTGTTTTATAATATATGCTGCTTGATAACAAAATTTCTTGTGATATAGGTTCATTTGAGGAGATTATGTTTTATAAGGAATTTTTGGTTACTTATGGAAATGGGGACTTGGCTGTGCCCTTTGTGGTTAACTTCTTCATGCAGATCTTTGCCCTGACTTTGCTGTAAGCTTCACGGGGCAGGCACTGTTTCTTCTTTATTTTGGTATTCCACTTTGGAGTCTTGCATCCTTCCTGGTACATAGAGGCAGAGTATGACAGAGAAAAAGAGCATGGGCATTTGGGTGAGGCCAACCTGAGTGTGAATCCCAATTGCTCCTCTTGCTGGTTGGATCAGGGGTTTGAAAACTACGGCCTATGGACCAAATCCAGCCAGCTGCCTATTTTTGTAAATACTACTTTTATTGGAATATAGCCACACCCATTTGTCTACATATTGTTCTACAATAACAAAGTTGAGTAGTTCTAACAACTCTGTAAATATCTGGCCACTCATGGAAGAAGTTTGATGACCCTGTTTGGATGATCTTGAGCAAGTTACTTAATCTCCTGAACTTCAGTTTCCTCATCTATGAAGTGGAATATTAATTGTCTAATACGTTTGTGTCAAGGAAGGGAGATGTAAAGTACATAAGATTTCTGGCATGGTACCTGGTACGTATTTGGCCTTCAAAGCATGGTCTCTGTTCTAATAATGATTATTGATGGTATTTAATTTAATGAATCAAAGTTCTGAAGGACACACTATCAAGCTCTTACTTTCTCTTTAAATTCCGTCACTGATTTTAAGATGAATGATACGAGCACAGTTAGACTGTTAGGTAGGAGCTGACCTTTATTCACGTCAGGCGTTGTACAGATCCTAAAAAAACCTTGGCCACTGTGCAGGTAATGGTGAACTCATTAATTTTTAGAGTTACGAATATTTTTCTCTGACAAGTAATGTACTATTTAAACAAGGGGAAAATAGGTTAAAAACGATCTTATTTGATAGTGCCTTCTACTGTGCTGTGATGTGAGCATTTAGTGAAACTACAATCAAATGACTCACAGGTTGGCACGTGTATGTTTCTACCAGATCAGGTAGTTTGAGCCATCTGAGGGACAGGTGAGTCAAACAAACGACATAGTTTGACATGACTTTTTTCTTTACTATGTACAAACTTGACTGGAATGAACAGAAAGCATAGGATCATATAAATAACTTACGGTATATCTAACCAAAAAAAAACCCAAACCTGTTGCTGTCGAGTTGATTTCAACTGATAACGACCGTATAGGACAGAGCAGAACTGCCCTATAGGGTTTCCAAGGAGCGGCTGGTGGATTCGAACTGTCGACACTTTGGTTAGCAGCCGAGCTCTTAACCACTCACTGCTCCACCAGGGCCTCATGGGTATACCTAGCCGTGCATATTTTTGTTCTTTGCTAAGAAATGAGATTTCTCAAGTAATTCATGGCAAAAATAACTCCATGCCCGCAGCACCCTTAGAGTTACCTCATTAAGTGAAAATACTTTTTGCAGTTTTTTTTAATCCTTAGCTAATTTTGAAGATTTTCTCTCTGCCCTGTTATGACATAATTTATCATTGATCTAATGAATATGCATTGAGTATGTGCTCTCTACCGGGTATCATAATATAGGAAGAGAGATTAACCCAGCAGACTGTCTCACACACTCATTGAGTTTACAGTTTAGCCGGGACCGCAGAAAGAATTCAACAAATAGATAGAAGAATAATGAGTGAATAAAAGGTACCAGTGGATGGTTTGAGAGAGAAAGAACTGGGCTAGTGGTTTGCGGAGGCTTCTCTGAGGGAGTAACATTTAGGTCGAC